TGTGGAGAGGAGAGCAGGGGCCAGGCATTGAAATGACACAGGACAAACTGGGCAGACAACCTGGGGCCCCCTCCTAAGGCCAGGGCAAGTTTCCCAACCACTTGGATCTTCTATTTCTGCTTGATTGCCCCCAGAGCCTGGGAGCTCACTCCCTTTCACGACTGGCTAAGCCTGAAGGTCAAAATCCACCCACATTCTGACTGAAGTCTGCCTCCCTACACCTGCACCTTCACCCTTCATTCCCAGCTCAGCCCCACAGCCACCTCCACTCTCCCCCACAGCAGCCCCGCTGAGCGGGGAAATAGCAGCAGAACTCTCTGCTGTCTCTAACCCGCCCTCAGGCCCCTTGTCCCTTGGGCTGCCACAGTCTGTCCATGATGCCGCTGAGGACAATCTTGGTTCCTGAGGAAGACAGAGGGAGCACCGGGTTCTGATCCCACCTCAACTCTGAACTGCTCTGTGGACTCGGGTAAGTCACAGCCTCTCTCTGGGCTGTGTCCCCATGGGTAGTAAGGGACAAGGAACTGATGATCTCTAAGGGACCCTCGGGTCTAAGAAGGGCAGGGTTTGGAGGGAGCCCACCCCACCCACCACCATCAATCAGTCTAGGCGTCAGGCTGCTCTGCCCGGGAGCCACGGCAGAGGGGTCTGGACCCAGCAGCCTCCACGAACAGGTGTTTCAGAAATGGACGGCAAGGGGAGGGTATCAGGCAGGCTGACGGCCAAGGGCCTATCGCTTTTCTTTGGAAAGGCTCTGTGGCCAGCTCTGGAGACAGCCCTGCACGGCGTGGAAGAGGGAAGGAGCCAACGTGTAGAGGAGGCTGAGGCTGGGAAAGGGAGCCCTCAGCTCCAGCCCTTTTCCCCATGTCCTCCTGCCGCAATTCACGGAGCTCCAGGAGGTGTACAAGGAGGTGTGTGGTGGGAGCAGGAGCCAGGCACAGTCACTGTGCCAGCCTTGGACCCCGCCCTCAGGGCTGCTCCGGGCCCCAAGCCCTTCCAAGCCACAAAAGAGGGAGCGGCCTAGTCACTGACAACTCAGCCCCACAGAGGAGCAGCCGCGGCAGGAAGAGCGAGGCAGGACCCCACACTGGGGGCCACCCAGCCCGATCCATGTGGAGCAGCCAGTCTGGCCCTGTAGCTCCCCCTATAGGTTCTCTCCAGGCTGGTACTGGGGCTCAGTGGACGTGAAATAGTCCTCCAGGAAGGCCTGCAGGTACTCGAAGGTGGGCCGCTCCTCGGGCTCCTTCCGCCAGCACTGGCACATGAGGTCGTGCAGGGACTCAGGGCACTCAGGTGGGCAGGGCATCCGGTAGCCTCGCTCCACCTGGTCCAGCACCTCACGGTTTACCATCCCTGTGGGCAGAGGGAAGAGTGAGGCGGCTCTGGGGGGACAGTGGGGTGGGGGGAAGCTGATGGGGTTACCAGAGAGGGCTTCCCACCAGAACTGGGTAGGTGTAAGCATAAGACCCTCCCCAAGGCTGGAAGCCCTGACCAGAGAGAGAACCTAAGATCAGATGTTCAACTTCTTTCTTCTACAGATGGGGAACCTGAGGCCTGGGAGGGGGTCTGGCTTGTCCAAGGTCACCAGGGAAGAGGGGTTCAGGGACTAAAGACAGGAGCCCTCTTACCAGGGTAGGGCACCCGGCCCTTTGTCGTGAGCTCTGTCAGGAGGATCCCAAAGGACCACACGTCTGACTTGATGGTGAACCGGCCGTAGAGGGCAGCTTCTGGAGCCGTCCACTTAATGGGGAATTTGGCACCTGCAGGAGCAAGAAAGGTCATATAGGCATCATTCCCATCCCCACATGACAGATGAGGAAACTGAGGCTCAGAGAAGGGGCAGGACTTCCCAAGGCACCTGGTACCCGCCCAGACCCTGCTCACCTTGCCGAGCTGTGTACTCGTTGTCTTCGATGAGCCGAGCCAGGCCAAAGTCGGCCACTTTGCACACGAGATTCTCTCCAACCAGGATGTTGGCAGCACGGAGATCCCGGTGGACATAGTTCATCCGCTCCACGTACGCCATGCCTGAGGCGATCTGCAGGCAAAACCCAGGAGCCTGGCTCAGGGGCCACCCCAAACCCTTCCCAGGTCACAGGCATGTGCCCAGGGCTGGGGTCACCCGAGGATAGAGAGCCAACCAAACACCCTGCCCATCCCCTTCTTCAGGCAAGTGAAGTAGGTCATAATAAACGCTGTTGCACAAAAAGCAGGACCAGCGCTCAGCAGAAGGAGGGAAGGCGGGACAAAGGGCAAAGGGGCAGCACAAGACAAGAGGCACCCAGGGAAGTGGGTGACCATAAAAGAGGCCCCAGATGGCCTAGAGACACAGAGCAGTGTCAGCTCCTGCCTGCAGTCCCGAGTCCCCTTTCCAAGCCTCAGTTTTCTTATCCATCAAATGGAGCAAACAGCCATCCCCAGCTCCCCTGGTTGTGATAAGGATTAAGTGAAAAAAAGGTTGTTCAGCAAACAAGTACATGTTTGTGAATACATGTTCGTTAAGTGAGTGAATTACCTTTACAGAGAAGAAAACTGAGGCCCAACATCCCACAGCAAGTCAGGGACTCGCTGCACAGTGAGGGCTCTTTCCTCTGCCCAGGACCACCACCTGCAGCACTATCAGTGCTCCCAGTAACACACGAGGTGAGACCAGCGAGTGTGAAGGCACCAAAGCAAGCTTCACAGAGGCTAGAGCTGGCTGCGCCAGGTGGGCCTGAGTGCGTGAAGCCAAGGGTGCAAGAGGGGCTGACTCACCTGAGCAGCCATGTCCACCAGCTGAGGCAGCCGCAGATACTTGCCCGTCTCCCCCTTGAGAAAGTCCAGCAAACTCCCTGGGCAGAGAGAAGGCAGCTCTAGCCCCTGCCCTGCCCTCCCTGAGCCAGGAAGCAGTGATTCCCAGGTCCTGTCCAAATGGGAAAGGCTGGCCACGCTTTAACCAGCACTGCAGATTTTATGTAAACCCATCTCTGATAAAGTCTCACTCAACGTTTGTCATTCAAAGGCAAGCAGGATGAGAAACAACCCCAATGTTCACCTCCAGGTAAACAGAAACTATGGTCCATCCATTGATGGAATCCTACTCAGCAGTAAAAAAGGAACAAAGTACAGATAACATACAATAAGGAAGACCCTCGGATGTGAAAGATGACATAAATGAAGCCCTAGCAGAAACAAATCCAGGATGGCAGGAGGCACGTGGTTGCCCGAGTTTGCGTCTGGAGAGGGGGCAAGGGAACTGTCTGGAGTGACAGATCTTCTCTATCCAGATGTGGTAAGGGATACAGAGTGCATCCATCCACTGGAACTCATTGAACTGGGTGTATTTTATAATCTATAATGGGTAAATTTTATAATATGTAAATTATGCCTGTAAAAAGCAGAATTTTAAAAATTCATTCATTAATTTTAAAATTCAGTAAAGATAAAGCCAGGGACTTAATGTGGCTCAGTTTGGATGGTTAGGGGAAGATCTCATTCTGCCCCAAAATGGCAAATGGCTTTAGAAAACCAGCAAACTGAGGTAGACCAGATGCATTGTGGGAGACTGTTAAACAAAATGAGACGAGAAAGGCAATCTTTGTTCTAACTTTCCATCAACATGAGAAGTTGTGCTCTATTCCAGTCCACCTTTAAAGAGGTACACTCTAGGTCTGGGGGGGCAGTAAAGCGCTCCCCACCTGCTGTTCAGTGAGCACCCTCATTCAGAGATAACCTGGCCAGGGGCTGCCCACATCTCGGTGCCAGTCACCAGGCCTCACCCTTGCTCATGTACTCCGTGACGATGTAGATGGGCTCCTCGGAAACCACGGCGTACAGCTGCACCAGCTTCTCGTGCCTCAGTTTCTTCATGACCTGGGCCTCCTGCAGGAAGGCCTCTGGAGACATCGTGCCTGGCTTCAGGGTTTTGATGGCCACCCTGGTGGTGCCGTTCCAGGTCCCTGTGTGGGGAGGGATGCAGGCTGCCTCAGTGGAGGCCCCCTATTCCCACCCATAGGGACCCAGGATCTGCCTAGGTACCAATTTCAGCTCTGGCCTCCCTGGCCATTCTGAGCCTCAGAGCTCCCACCTGTAAAATGGGCACAAGAACAGATGCTCCTCCCAGGACGATTACAGAGACTAAATGTGTGTATACACCCTCACCCTGCCCCATGCATCTGCTCCCTGAGTCATCCATGGAGGTACATGCTCCAGAAATAGTAGCTGTTGTTAGGACTCTGGTTATTAGAAATGTCCCAAAAGGCAGCACATTCACCTGAGATGGGAGATCACAGTTCCAACGCAACTACTCATTCCTGGGTGATCATGTTCCCTCTCAGCGGCACAAAGAAGGTGCCTCAGGTGCTAGCAAGTGAGTGGGGCCGGAGCCGGGGAGCAACAGGGAAGAAGTAAGAAATTCCCCCATGATTACTGCACAACCAGCCCAGGTATGAGTCTTGCAGCGCGAGCCTGGACAGCGGATGTGTGGACTTATCCAGCGTTCGCTCACATCCTCATTTTGCACATGTGCGTAGGAGCTGGCTTCTTATCCTCTCCCCTCTCTCTAGCTCAAAGAAAGCACCTCTCTTTTCCTGACTTGGCCCGAGCTCCAGCCTCCATGCCTTTGTCCCTGCAGTGCCTCCCACCAAGGAACCTTCTCTGCTCCTCTCCATCATCTCTTCCCCTGAAGGGAGGAAAATGAAGACAGCAATGCCAAGTGAAGACAGTGGCTCAAAGGAACACCTTGAAGATGGGCCACTGTGTCCCTCCGCTGAAGCCCCAGGCTTACAAGGGTCATGCCTACCTCACCCCAACTTCCACGATCCCTCTGTGTCAGCAGAAACCAGGCCGTGGGAGGGGACCTGAGTTCTGTCAGGGCCGCAGAGTGTTTGTTCTCAAGGATGGCTTTGCAGTTTCTCCAGGGTGAGACAGGAGATTGTCAACAGGCACAGAACATGCCCAGCCTGCACTTCCCAGCACTCCCTCTGCGCACCGAAGCGTCTCTTCCCAGGGCTGAGAGCTAACCTGTGGATGCACGCTCACACAGCCCCACAATGGGTCCTATTACCACCAGCCCCATTTTACAGTTGGGAAGATTGAGGCTCAGAGTGATGCCACCTGGCCCAATGCCCAGCCCCTCTGCAGAGGCATGAAGAGGCTACTTCCTATCTTGGTGCCAGCCACCACTGGGGGAGCTTCGTATTAAAACAGGGCCCACTGTTCAACAGAGGCAAGTGAGACTCTAGGACAGCCGTGGGCAAACTACGGCCCGCGAGCCGGATTCGGCCTGTTTGAAATGAATAAAACTAAAAAAAAAAAGACCGTACCCTTTTATGTAATGATGTTTACTTTGAATTTATATTAGTTAACACAAACACTCCATCCATGCTTTTGTTCCGGCTCTCCGGTCCAGTTTAAGAACCCATTGTGGCCCTCGAGTCAAAAAGTTTGCCCACCCCTGCTCTAGGAGGTAAAGGGGAGCGGGTAAGAGGGTTTTGAGCTGCCGGATAGATGGACATCTGCCTGGCTCTCAGGTGGGGACACCAAAGTCCCCCAAAGGGACTGTGTTCTCCTTGGAGGGGTAGGGGCAAGGACTCACCCATCCACACCTCTCCAAAGCAGCCCTGGCCCAGCTTGACCTCCAGCCGCAGTGACTCCCGGGGGATCTCCCAAGCGTCCTTGGCCAGGCCCTGAGTCTGTGGCTTGGACGTGGGACACACAGTGGTGAGTCGGTGGCACAGGCCATCAGCATGTTCTGAAGATGGAGACAGGGAAGATGGAGTTCAGGCCTGGTGTCCGCCCTGGGGCCTCCCTGTCCCACCATGTGTACAGACCTGCACGCTGTATGCACACAGGCTTTGGGGACACACAGGATGCCCTTGAAGCCAAGCATCCACACCTGTGTGTATACACCCTCACCCCATACAGGCTCACACTGCCCCATGCATCTGTTCCCTGAGTCATCCATCCATTCATTAATCACACTTTAAGGCGTGGCCAGCCAGGTGGATACCAGGGACTCATGGGAGGACACGTGCAGTGGAACCTTGGCCTCTGGGAGCTCACAGTCCCGGGGGAGCCCAACTTTCCTTAATAAACTCCCAGAACCACATGTGTGATGTGCATGCAACAGCAGGTGGGGTGGATAGAGTCCTGGAAGGCTTCCCAGAGGAAGCGGCACTTGGGCTTGAGTCTGCAGGAGGGTGAGTGGTTAACCAGGGAAGAGCACTCTAAGCAGAAGGCACAGTGCCTCGTGCCTGTGTAAAGGCCCTTAGGGAGGGACAGCCGCTGGGGTGGAGGAGCTGGAAGGGGGCTGGAGGGCTGCGGGGAAGTGAATGGAGGAAGGGAAGCCCCAGGTTCAGACTACTCAAGGCCTCAGAGACCACACTGGGGTCCTTATCCTAGATTGCAAGAGCGCCCCTGGAGGGTTCTGATCTGGCGGAACAGGATTCGGAATCAACAGTAGTGGTGGCCGAGGGACTGACAGAGGGGCAGATCCTAGAGGAGTCAGGAGGCGGGTGGACAGAGGAGGAGGAGGAGGACGCGTGGGCTGGAAAGTAGCAGGCACCCTCAGAATAGGCCACACCGGCACACGGAGACCAGAGCTGCACACCACAAGCTCACCGGCTCCCACAGGCCCGCCACGGGTGCACACAGGCCCGTGACTCTTCCGTCCACCCGACAGCCTCAACATCCAGGTGCAACAGCTGCTCTGTATACACAGGGGCTGTGCCTGTGAGCACCACGAACTCTCGCTCCCCCTGCGCCCTCCCTCTCTCAGCAGCAATCAATGTGGCAGCCCCTTCCTCCTCTTCCAGTAACCAGTTCAGACCGGTGCTAGGGCTGCAGAGACAATCGACACCGCCTGTGCCCCTCCCTTCCCTGCTCACTCCTCCAGGCAGCCCCCTCTTCACCAGCCAGCTGCAGAGGAGGAGAAAAAGGAGGGAGGGGTATGGAGGGAGAGAGGGGAGAGGAGATAAGGAAGAGAGCACAGGGAGGAAAGAAGAGGGGAAAGATGGGGAGGGAGGAGGGGAAGGAAGAAGGGGCGGGGAAAGAAGGGGGGAGGAAGGCAGGAGCCACATAGTCTCAGCATAACAGAAGCCCCAGCCCTTGTTGGCCCCAAAGCCCCCTCCTCAGGGTCTGCAGCTGAGGCCCTTAGAGGGCCTAGCCCCGGCCAGGCTCTCCGCTGGCCCAGCTGCCCACCCCCTGGAGGCCTGCACCCCGGGCTGGGGGGTGGCACTCACTAGAGTAGTAGGCTACGAGCTGCTGCAGACTGTTGAACTGGGTGCGAGAGGTGATGTAGAAGCCGCCGCTGTCCAGCTTGCGGATCTTGTAGTGCTTCACGTTGAGGCCTTTGGCGTTGTCGAAGTCGGACACTGAGAGGCAGTAGGCACCTGCAGGGAAGGGCCAGCGAGGAGCCGTGATCACCAGGCCTGCCACCCCACAGGCCACGGCACTACGCACAGTTCTGTGCCTGTCCAACACAGGAGGGGAGAGGGATGCCAGGTCGGCAGCCCCGGCCCAGGCAGAGCCAGGGTCTGGTTCAACCCAGCTCTGGGGCAGCCACTGAGACAGGGCCAAGTCAGCAAGGCGGCACCTGGCTGGAAAGCTCTGCCATGCACCCTTGACCCTGGCAAGGCTTCTGAAGCCTGAGTGAGTGTCCGAACTGTGTGACCTCCACAAGTCGCTTGCCCTCTCCCTGCCTCAGTTTCCTCCTCTGCACAATGGGGCTACCCCCAGGGCTGCTGGGAAGATTCAATAAGACTACATACAAGAGGTACTCAATAAATGCTTGATGGGAGCATAGAAGTGGCCCCACGTGGCTGTGTGTACCCCGATTAACTGCTGCCCGTCTCCGGGTCTGCCTTGGCAGCATTCTCTGTGCCCCATCACTTCATGAAGACTCCAGGCTCAGGCATGAGCCGGTGACTGGCTGAGGCTGTGGCTGAGGCAGACAAGCAGGAGCCCATGTGCTGGGCATGACCTGAAGGCTGCTAAGGCTCAACTGGCCCAGTCACAATGGCCCCCTCCCTGCTTTCCTTGAGCCTGGAACAGCTTTGGGTGGAATAGCTCCCTCCTGCCCAGCAGGCCTGGCTGGGAGCCTCTGTTAACCTGAACCCAAGAGACAGTGGCCTCAAGGGAACAAGGTGGCAACAGGGACCAAGGCTGAGCCCAGAGGTGGGGCAGTGGGTGCAGAAGCTCTAGTGGCCACAGAAAGCCCTTCTTGGGAGGCAGCGTACAGGCACTTTGCTAGAAGCCCAGCCCCCACAGGCCACGGACCCTCTGGACAGTCCTCAGCTAGAGGCTAAAATCTGTGTAAAGAAGGGAAAATGAGGCCCAGAGAGGGAAGCAGCTAGACTTCAGGTCACACAGCAAGGCAGGCACCATGCTGACTTGAACTGTTACCTGGGTCTCTGACGCCTGCATGGGGCAGCCATGACTTACTGCAGATGACCCGGGCCCTGTGCACATGGCAGCCTCAGGCCTGCGCCTGAAGCTGGCCCCTGACCATGCACACACACAGGTGAGCCTGTGCCCGGGGGCTGCATGCTCACAAGGTACACACTCCCCAGGCCCACAGGCATGAAGACAAACCCACAATTCACTCCCATGCAACAATACACACACAATTCCACCCCCATGTGCACACACATGCCTAGACCCACACATGGCGTGCATGGCCACAGAACCGTGCACATGCGTGGCATGGATGATCTGCTTTCCCAACTCCTGCTGTGTCCCAGGCCCACAGGAAGTGGCCCAGCTTCGTTGCCATGGTGATGGGGTGCCTGCAACCCACTTGCAGAGGGGCTGGAGAGAAAGCGGTGATACATATGCATTCTCTTGCTGGGGGGAAGGGACAGAAGAACAGGGGCCAGGACTGATGCGGGAAGGGTAAAGCCGGGTCCCAGGACCCAGTCCAGCCCCAGAGGCCCCTGAAGAAGGGGAAGGAGAGGGACCCATTGTAGCAACACCCACCCTGGGAACAAGCCTTTCACTGTGTGACCCCTAGTCCTCCTGACAATCTGTGTCCATTCCTCATCTCAGGACACTGAGGCTGGAGAGGCTAAGTGTCCTCTTTTACTGCACCTCTGGCCACCCAAGATAACTCAGTGTTCCTAATGTACCTCTCAGCCTTTGATCTTGTCATTTCCTCCACCCTGAGGGTTCTTCCCACTTCACGCATACACCAAACTCCTATTCATTCTGCAACACCACGCTCAAACAACCCACCAGAAGATTCAGTTCCCACTGGCTCCTACCTTTCGTGGTCTCGCTTTCTCGCACTAGGAAGGTCCCTCTCGGGTTCTCTGCATTGAGCAGTAACCGCTCTGACTCCCGTCTTGTGATCTTGCCAAAGTACCACCTGGGGCAGGAGGGAGGAGGATAACACTGGTGATCCAGGCTTCTGCCCATCCACAGTGTCTCTGGCCTGGGATGTGGCTGGGCCCTAGGCAACCAGACCTCCCAGCCCAGGAGAGAAGCGACGGTGAGCAAGCAGGAGGGCAGAGTTCATACTCACTCCTCAGCCTGGATGGAGTCAGAGGGCGCCACGTAGTTGCTGGGGATGTAGCCCGTCTGTCCCGTGCTGAGCGAGTGGGCCAGCCACCAGTCTCCCTCTCTGAGTGTGGGAGCAGGAGGGAACAAAGGAGAAGGGAATCATCAGTGGTGGGTCTGCCTGCAATTTTCAGGGACGCTGTGCTGGGAGCCCTGGAAGCCAGTGGAGCACAGGGAACGGGAGACCAGGCCCCTCGCAGCCTGCCCGGCCACGCTGGCCCACATGCCTCGGCCAAAGCTGACTCAGACAGGCTTTGTCCAGGACTATGGCAGGACTGACCATGGTCAGCCTGAAGCCTGAATTCACAGGGCAGAGTCCTGGAATGGGAAGGACTCTTGCTTCCCTTCAGACAGACCAAGCTGTTCAAGATGCCAAGAGCTGCCTGGGAGTGAGAGAGGAGCTCCTTGTCTTTGGGGAGCAAGCAAGTTATAACAGCAAGTTCCTTTCGGAGCCGGATGTCAAATCAGACCTTCAAAGTCTCCCCAAGCCCTGAGAAGCCCAATCCTGGGAGCTGGTGAGACCTGGGTGGAGGCAGGGGGTGGCCCTTTTGGGGACTGATGACAATCCAAGTGCCAACCCTGCAAACGAGAGCAATGCCTGCCTTTGTCACAAATCACAGGTCACACCTAAAGGGCTCCTTGACTGAAAACTACAGGCCTCCTCTTGCAGCCTGCCCATCATGGGGAAAACTGAGGCCAGAGGGGGCTGGGACTTGCCCAAAATCACACAGCGAGTCATGTCAGAGGGGCTAAGGTGGCAGAGCCCCAATGCCCAGGACACTTCTATATTAATGGCCCACAAGGAGGAAGAGGAGAGGGGGTGGGGCAGGAGGAGCTCCCCACAGGGCTGGGTCCCCTGGGCCTGGGTGGGAGGAGGGAGGGGGCGAAGTACCTTTGCAGCCATCTGAATGTGAACCAGGTCTGGCTGGAGCGGGGGTCCAGAGACACAGAGGAGAGAGGAGAAAGCGAGAGCCCAACAGGAAAGAAGAGGCAGAGATGGGGGTGGTAAGAGGGAGAGGCAGAAAGAGCGAGGGAACGAGCAGGACAGCCAGGCGGTGCTGGGGATGGGCGACAAGGGGGCAGCCACAGAGGCCTCGCATCCAAAGCAACCAGAGAGGCTAGGGAGATGTCCATGAGGAATGTGGGGGGTGATGGGAAGGGCTGCCTGGGAAATGGGGTCCAGCGCCCTCCCATTCCCAATGGGTGGATGGGAAGACTGAGGCCAGAGAAGCACAGGCTCTGCTCAAGGTCACACAGCCAGGCCCGGGCTCCAGCTGCCAATGAGAAGGCATTCTCCCTGCAGGGGCTTGACAGCTTGCTGAGCGTCTCCATCCCAGGACGCCTCTGGGCCTCACGACCCTGAGAAGATACACAGCTACCGGGATGCACTCCCCTCCCCATCGCCAGGGCCCAGAGGGAGAAAGGCCCTTGCCAACAGTCACACAGTCCGGACTTGAACCTGAATCCCTGGGTCCTGGTTTTTCTGAGCTTCCCCTGACCCACATTCTTCAGCCCATTTTGAAGATGGAGAAGTTGAGGCCAGGAGAGTACGGGGCTAGGGATGCTCTCCAAGGACCTGGGAAAGTATAGGTGAGCAGTCAGACCAGGGCTTAGCCATGGGAGGGGCGCTGAACCAGAGGGGTAGAGTCCCTTCTGGCTGAACGCAGGTGAGAGCAGCATGATACGGGCTGTGCAGGCTGACTTGGCTGTGCCATTGCTGACGCGCACTCAGGCAGGGACACAGTTCCTGCGGGAGTTTTGGAGAAGAGGGAGGGCCCCAGAGTAAGGGGGCAAGGCCCTCCTCAAGGAAGGAAGCCTTTGGATTCCCAGGGCCTCCATCCACCTCCTGATGTGCACCCATTCGGGGGTGGCTACACTTGTCTGTCCCATTGGACCCTCAAGGCCACCCTGAGCGGGAGGAAGGCAGGTCTCAGCCCCCGATTAGGACACGCAGCACCCAGGCTGGAGCAACCCCGCACTTCCTTTGTCGAGTTGGGGAACCTGAGGCACAGAGAGGGGCTGAGATTAGCCCAAAGCTACAAAGCCAGGACTCAAGTCACAGGGAACAGCGGAGATCTTCCAGTCCAAAGCTGCCTTTCACCAATGGGGATCATCAGGCACAGAGAGGGGCAGTGATGTGCCCAAAGCCATGTCGCAAACCAGAGCAAGAGGGAGGACCAGGGCCCCCGAGTTCCCGCAGCCAGACACAGCAGGCCTCCAGGCACCTGCAGTCTCCCCAGGCCTTCAGAGGCCCAGAGGCCCTCGGGGAAGCCAGGGGAGGATGAAAGAGGAGGCAGCAGGACTGGAGGGCGGGGACTGGGCTGAGGTCTAGGTCACAGGCTACAAAACGAGGCAGATTGACAAACCAGGGTCTGAAAGCTGACCCGCCACCAACTCAGAGGGGAAGGTCGGTGGAACATGTGCCCAGAGGCCAGCCACATAGAGACCCCAGAAGCAATGAGGGTTCGGTTCTGCTGACATCATCCAGACTTTGGCCAGCAGAGCCTCTAGCTCCCTGACATCAAGCCCATATGTGAGTTTGGGCTCCCAGGCCAGTTTCTGAGTTTTAGTTCACAAGGGCAGGGAGGGTGGTTGTTTGCAATCTCACTAAAGGGTCTGATTTGAGCCTGGCCCCAGCTTGAGAGGTGTCAGGGAGCTTGAGCATCAAAGTTAGCCACAGGCTGTGTGACCTTGGCCCTGCCTCAGTTTCCTCATCTGTAGGATGGGGATACTCATGCATCCCTCTGAGGGGGGCTCAATGTGCATGAATGGTTAATATCTCAGTTTGGCTTAAAAAAAAAATTGAATTCATATCTCAATGGTGCCCCTCTCCCCACTCTCAAAATGTTTTTTTTAAAACTAAAGCCAAAGCAGCTCAGTCCATCTCCAATAAGGATTTGCTGTGTGACCTTGGGCAAGTACCCTGCCCTCTCTGGGTCTTAGTTCCCTCATTTATAAAGAAGATACTATAAATAATATTTTTATTTCCTTCTTCACAGAATCATCCTTGCTGCAAAGTATGTAAATCAATCAGCACCAAGCCAGTTTCAGCTTCAGTAAGCTAATTCTGTATCATCTGCGGCTCAGTTTACCCACCTGTGAAAGGGAGCCATCAAGCCCCATCTTCCCAAGTCTATAATCTGGGACAGCGGTCGCCAACCTTTCGGAACTCACGGACCACCAGCGGTCCGCAGACCACCGGCCGGCGACCACTGGCCTGGGAGACTCAAACCTGCCACCGGGTGCCAAGGGTCTGGGGCTGCTCCCAAAGGAGATGCCCCACAGCTTCCCAGGCCAGTCCAGCGCCACAGGGACACCAGCGCGAGCCCAGCCTCAGAGGCAATGGAGAATTAATCTGTCAGGTTGAGCAGATTCGCCGAATCCGGCACCTTCCCTGGGGCCTAGTCCTTCCCCGGTGGGTAGGAAAAAGGAAAAGAGGGGAGGGAATAAGACATTCCCGTGGACACAGATGATGGGGTGGTGAGGGCCTGGGTGCAGGGGGGACGGCAGCGGCTGGAAGAGGTTTATGGGGGAAAGAGGAGGACCTATGTAATACTTTCAACAATAACGATAAAAAATAAATGACAGTCCCCGCCTGATCCCTCACCTTCCCACCTGTGGCCAGAAGAGAAAGCAATGAGCTTCCCTGAGCTACCCTCTTATATTCCAACTGCTGTTCACCAGCTGTGTGACCTCGGGCTACTGACCACACCTGTCTGAGCCTCAGGACCCTCTTTTTGGGCCCTAATCTTGTGCTGCCCGGGTTGGTATGTGGGTCAGGATTGTGGCAGCTTTGGAACCTAAGTTATGCGCATTTGGGTGCTCACATATTGGCCAAAGAGGCAAGCTTGGGCAGCGGGGCACGGCCCTCGCAGGCAAGTGTCCTGAGGCCTGGGCATGGCCCATGGGAGAGGGCAGGGTGAGGCCAGGGCAGGTCAAGTAAGGAGGACGGGAAGGTGTGCCTTGCCCCACGGTGGGGAGCACCCAGGGCAAGGTGTCCGAGGTTAGTGCTCCCCCAAAGAAGCTGCTAGAATGTGGGCAGGAGAAAGGGGCAGTTCAGGGAGCAACCCACAGGGGCCCTGACCCCTGGAGACTCAGACAGCCCTGAACTCTGCCACCACCAGACTTCCCAGGCGAAGGAGCGGCTGAGCATTGTGCATGCGGAGGGACTCTCGATTCACCCCCACCCTCCAATCAGGGCACCTCAGTGCCACCGAGGGCTTCCCATGGACGGGGCTCCAACACTGCCAGCCCTCCTGACAGCCTCAGGGCTGGCCAAACACCCTCCCCTCAACCCAACCCGGAAGGCAGGAAAAAGGAAGGGAAGAGGTGGACAAAGAAGGAGCGAGGGCTGCTCTCTGGGTGAAAGGTGCAGAATCCGTTTCCAGAGCCTCTCCTCCTGCCACACCTTTGCTCAAGCTGTGACCCCAGCCCGAGAAGCCCTTCCCACTGTTGCTGGTTGAGATGCCCCCCAGTTCTTCAAAGCCTCTAACCCTTGCATCCCCATCCCCCCGTACCTCCTTTCCCTCCTCCTGGCTCCTCTGCACCTCCCCAGCAAGGGCCCTGGGTCACGCCTACCCTCCCAGCTCTGCCACCGCTAGCTGTGTGACCTCAAGCAAGCCATTTCACCTCTCTGGGCCTCAGTTTCCTCATCTGTAAAATGGAGCAAATATGGGTTTCCACTTGCCAGGACTGCGGTGATGTATAAATAAAACAATGCAGCTCAAAGCGCTCAGCACAGAAACCTGGCTCACACACAAAGCACACGAAACGGTGCTGTTTCATTACTGTTCATCCATCTGGTTCATCTGCACCAGAGGGGTACCCCCAGCATGCTGAGCAACAGGTGATGGGGGGACCCAGAAACATCGCGAACCCCAGCAGCCCTCAAGGTGCTCCCAGCTTGCGGGGAGGCAGATCCAAACAGCTGGAACCGAGAGAACTGGAGTGACACTAGGAACTGGACACACAAGAGGTGGAAAGTTGGGAAAGCCCCTCTCCCAGGGAGAGACGCTTGAGTCAGGGAGAGAGCCGCTGCCCAGGCTCCAGCCCCGGCTTTGCTGTTTGGTGGCTGTGTGACTGTGGGCAAGGGCCTTCACATCTCTGAGCCTGTTTCCTCGTTTGCACAATGGAGACATCTCCTCCCCCGATCACTACAGCCCTGGCGGGACTGCAGCTGAGCAAATTGGAGGACGTGGGTCTAAACTGCCTGGCCCGGCACCTGGCACCTCTTTTCCCTCTTGCCCCTCAGAGAAGGCAGTCTTCAGCTGGATCTTGAGGGATGAATAGGAGTTTGTCAGGCAGAGATGGGACAAAGGGCATTTCAGGCAGAAGGAACAGCATGCACCAGGGCGGGGAGGCATGGACAAGCAAGACACACCGAAGAGGGTGGAGATATCCAATCTCCTTAGCCAGGCCTTCAGGGGCACTCAGGGGTCAATTCTACCCTGTCCTCTGGAGCAGCTCCCTCCAGCGCAGCACCTCCCACAGCTGCCCCTCCGTGAGGGACTGCCTTCCGCCACCTCCACTGGCCACTCGACTTCACTGTTCTTCCTCCAAAGACCTGGAAACTCCCAGGCCCTGTGGTCACCGCCAGAGGGGGACACACAGCAGAAGCCCAAACGCCTGGGCTGACCCATCCTCTGCCTCCCACTCTGCCTGCACTGGGGCTGGCTCCCGGCTACCCTCTGGCTCCAGGAAGGCCTGGACAAGGCCTCCTCCACCCAGGTCTCAATGGCCCAGCCCTGAGCCGTGCATGCAGCTGGAACTCAGTGTGGGCTGAGGGAGCAGAATGAGGATGGGTGAGTTGGGAGGGTGGGTGGAAGGAGGGGTGGTGGAGAGTGACAAGGTGATGGGAGGACTCTCCCCATTCTCAGCCTGGGGTTGAGGTTGGGAGCTGGCCAAACTGGCTGGGGGTGAGGACGCAAGCTGGGGAGCTGGAAGCGGGCAGCCAAGGGGGCCAGAGACCACAGGCAGGGACACAGCACATGCAGACAGCAGCCCCACCCCCACCAGCAAAGCACCCCACCCAGCCCACTCATGAAGTATGTACACACCTGACATCCACCTTCCTCCTAAGGGCCAGCAAGAAAGAAGCAGAGAGAGGGCGAAGCTGAGAGGGCTGGGGGAAGCAAGTGCGGGCCAGGAACGGGGTGGGGGGGTCCCAGGCTGCAGGGGGAGGGGGACAGCAAGCGCTGCCAAGGGCAGCAATGCAGCAGGTGCAGTCTCTGCCCTGCCCTGTCAGCACTCCTGCATGAGCAAACCCATCCCAAGCCCACCCTGAAGGCCTCCCCCGCCCCTCCCTGGGCATATGGCCCTAAGGCTGCACGGCACCCCCATGACAGGTGTAGCACCTCACTCCCACTGCACTCTAGGCAGGGAAAGAAGAGGAGGGGACAGGAGGAGGAGGACCCCACCCCATGGCTGGAGCCCCATCCACCCCTCATTGGTTCTTTCCTCCCTGCTCCCTGCTCCCCTGCCCACAGAGGCCCCAGCGTCTGGCATGGGCCCCCAGAGGCCAGCTTGGCTCTAGGATAGCCTACCCCAAGGATGGAATCCCTGGAGGTAAACCAGACATCCACCAGGGAGTCCTGCCCTCCACACCCTATACTATCATCTCACCCACATGCCCAGTTCTGACCTTCTCCCACTGTGTGCCCAATATAGGTTCCCCATCCCTTCCAAGGCAGGCTCCTCCCACTACAGTGGGACACGCTGACCTATCCTGACTTATCCGGCTGCCCCGGGCCCTCCAGCCCTAGGTCACTAATGGGGGCACCTCTGTGGGCATGGCCTCCAGTGTTAAGCCCTCCTTTTTGTAGTCGTGGGTCTTGGGCCCAGTTCTGCCATGACCACATGCGCCCCTGCAAAGTCTGGGATCTGGGGTTCTGGGATACTGTGCCCTGTTGACAAGTTACTGAACCCAGATCTCTGTCCCAGGGGCCTTCCTGGAGCCCCAACCATCACCACTTGCTTCATTATCATTCCCACAGGCCCCAGGATGGTTTCCTGCGCCTCCACAGCCCCAGCGCTCAGCTCTGCCTGCTGCCCAACATGCTGCCCTCTGAGCCTGGGATGCTCAGAAGTGGTTCTGGCCCAAAGCCGGGCCCAAGGGATGGGATGTCCAAGGACGACGGGGAAGGGAGGCACTCACGTGTTGTTGACAATCTGCAGCCGCTCCCCTTTCTTGAAGGATAGATCAGTCTCTGTCCGGGACTCATAGTCGTAGAGGGCCACAAAGGTGGTCACTCCGCCTGCAGAGAGGGTTGGGCATATCAGAACGGCAGGGGCCATGGACAGGGAGAGGTGTGCACAAAAGGGCCCTGTACCCCGGGGGCGTGGAGGCTGGTCTCCCACAGGCCATCAGAGCCCAGCCCAGAGTCACGGTCACATTCAGAGCTGTGTCCATGTGCCCGGGCACCCCTGTGAGGGCATCCCACTGGGCTCTGGGTGATGCTAGGCATTTGTTTGGTGTCTATCTTCTCCATAGAACCAGCAGCCCCTACTAACAGGCATCTTTGTTTTGTTCCCAGAGCCTGACACATAGTAGGTGCTCAAGAAACAACTGTGGGATGAATGAACCAGTGAATGAAGGAAATTGCACCAGGGGAGGTTGCTCTACTTCCCTCTCTGGGTTCTTCTATGTGTCTGGGGAGAGCTTGGTGGCAGGTAACTGTTCCCTCAAAGAGGCCCTCTCTGTCCCCCATTTTAATTACAACCTCTATCCCTCCATCCTCCAAAATGCCCTTCCTGCCCCTTCTGTCCTTCTCACCAGTTACCACCTTCTAACGTGCCACACCGTTCACACATCTTGCTTTGTTTCTCTCCCCTACGGGGATTATGTCTGCATCACACACTACAGGTCCCCAGACCAGAGAATCCTAGCACGCAGTAGGGGTGCCACAAATATTTCTTGGACACATGAATGGGTGTGCATATTGGTCTATTTGTCTTACTTGGACTGTGTCTGTGCCTGAGGAATCTGTGAGTGTCCATGTGTCTCTGTGTGCTTTTGTGTTCTCACTGCATGTGTGTGCACTTGTGCCTCCATGGGTCTGTGGGTAGCTGCAAATTCGTTTCTTCAGTATGTGTCTGTGTCCTGTGTGTGTCTTTGAAGGGCTTTGACCACACGTGTGTGTCTTCATCTGAGAGCAGGAGGTTATTTGTATGTATGTGTGTGTGTATTTGTGTACATCTGCATTGGGGGTGTGTCTGTGCCTAGGGAGTGCAATCCATGTGTGTTCTATGCGTGAGGCGTGCGTGTCTATGATGGAGTCTCCAGCTTAGCACAGGTACATGTCTTTAAATGGTTCCTTTGAATGAGTTGCTGACTTGGTGTGTGTAACCATGAGTGTATGGCTCCGTTTGAGTGTGTTGGGTGAGAGTACAAGTGCTTGCAAGTGTCATGTGTCTCTCAGGACCACATCTGTCTCTAAGCATCCCTGTCTTGGCTGTTATACCCCAAAGTGCCAGCAGAGGGCGCAGGGGCGCATCTCAGCATGAGGAGGGCCTCTGAAGAGGAGCTTTGATTTTTCCTCCCAACCCTCCTGGCCCCTTGACCACACACTAGCCACCTATCCCGACCCATCTCTGGGCTGACCAGGGCAAAGGGCTCCCTGGTCCTTAGTTTCGCCCTACACTCCTATATCTTTAGACCCCTCTATGCTCTGCGTCTGATGGATTGTGCACCACACTTCCTACCTACAGCCTCCAGGAAACTCCCAGGAGTCCCCAAGGCCAAGTAACCCATAGACACTTCCCCTTTCGGGAGCAAAAGAAACAGCAGCCCAAAGAGGGGGTGTCGCTGCCCCAGGACACACAGCCCTCCTGGCAGAGCAGCCTGGCCTGGCCAGGAAGGGCAGAGGCATCCTAGAACATATGCCCCCAGGTCCACTGACCAGCCAGCGGCCCCGCCCTCTGCGGGGAGGTGACTGTGTCCGAAGAGTTGAAGCCTCCAAACAGCTTGGGCTCGGCGGTGGCAGGGGAGAAGGCCGTGTTGGGGCCACGGTGGCCGTCAGCGGTGGCCAGCTTGCTGGGGGTCTGTGAGGTGGGGAAGGCACCCCCGCCGCCGCCACCATGGGCGTTCTCAGCAGGCTCCAGGCTGCGGCGCCGCTGGCTGGCATCCTTGGGCTTGCTCTTGTTGCTGCCCATGGTCCTGGCTGGAGAAGAGAGAGGACCCTGGAGTGAAGGAGGGACCCTGGGAGCAAGCAGGGCTGTCTGGGCCCCTTAGACAGCCTCCACCCTAACCCATTCTACAGATGGGGAATCTGAGGCCCACGAGGGGTACTAGCCTCTTGAGGTAAGTCAGCCTTTCAGGACCCCCATTTCTTCATCTGTAAAATGGGAATGATGATGTCACCCAGAAAGGGCTTCCTTGGTACAGGACCAAGCACAGAAGAAACCTCGTCATCAGAAGCCCTAACCTCTTCCACATTCTGCTGAGTCACTGTTTCTGTCCCTCGTGGGCAGGGACAGTATCTGAGTCATGTCTATGCCCCAGGCACTCAGCACATAGGAGAGGGCTCATTGAGGGTTTGTTGAGTGAATCCATGACTGACTGAAATTGTCTAATCCAGGGGGAAAGGTGCTAAAAGTTGCAATCAACTCAGGCAGCTGAAAGAAGGAGAGATGGCTGGGAGCTCACCTCAGCCACAGGGCCTTTGCACATGCTGTTCCCTCTGCCTAAATGCTCTTCTCTGACCATTTCACCAGGGTAACTCATGCCTCCCTCAGTTCTTAGTTCATAAGTCACTTCCCTAGGAAACGTTCCTCAAATTCTTTCACTGGTCTAAGTTAACGTGACTTTTGTGCCTCTCCTTGGTAACATGTGGCCCAGCAATCACTTAATTTGTATTTGTGTGATTATATTATTATTATTGTCATGGACTTTAGTCTGTCTAGTTCGCTGCTATACTCCCAGTACCTCGCACAGAGTAGCACACAGTAGGTGCTCAATAAATAGTTGAATGAAAGAGATTTCGGAGCCAGAAATCTGGCAGGTCAAAACTTCCCAGTGATGCCCATGGCCCTGCCACACACTTTTGCCTCCCACTTCCCCATTCTCAGGTCCTGGCTGGCCCCCCACTCCCCACCATCATGGCCACCCCTCCCTGCTCCCTCATCTTGGCAGTCCTGAATGGGCCATCACCTCACCTGGTGGCAGGCAGGGGCTGTCCCAGAGGACCTGGGGAGCAGCCTGGGCTCTCAGCAAACAGCAGGTGTGGAGTCAGGGGTCGAAGACTAAAGGCCCCGCTTCACCTCTTCCCACTTAGTGACCTTAAGCGAGTCACTGCCCCTCTCAGGCCCTCCGCATCCTCACCTGAAAAGCAGGGATAAAGCAAACTCTCAGGGCTGCTGTGAGGGCATGATCAGAAGAGAAACCACCATGACTGACTTGTGGGTCATGACTTATCAGCTCTGCCTCTGGGAGACAAAGCCGAGAGCTTCCCAGACCTGAACATTCCTCCTAGCCTCCCAAAGCCTTTCTGAGCGAGAACAATGCTGGGTGGGGCAAGGTGGTCGAGTGGGCTCTCAAGCCAGGCTCCGCAGCTCGGATCCTGGCTCTGTCCCTAATCAGCTGCATGACCTCAGGTAAGCGACTTAACTCCTCTCTGGGCCCAGTTTCTTCATCTGGAAACTGTGGGCCATTGTGATAACTGAGCGAGGCAAGCCAGAGTGCTGGGAACACAGCTGGTCAGCCTGACATCAGCTCTCACTGATCTGTGTGACTCTGGACACACCAGCCAGGTGGTTCCGACTGTTCTCCAGGGCATGCTGCAGGCCCTGGAATTAGTCCAGAATTTCCTCTGGGAACCTATGGATGGAGAAAAGTCCCTTTAATTGGTGGGGGCCTCAGGCAAGCCTGTTAGCCCTGAGAGCTGAGTCCAGCTCTGTGACCCCAGTCCCTGTGTGAACCTCAGCCGGTCCCTACAGGCTCTGGGCCTCAGCCTGCTCTGCTGCACAATGGAGGTGTGGTCTGCATGCTCCCTGGGGTCCATCCAGCTCAGAGAATGTGGGGCTGGGGAGGCCCTAGGGAGACCTGCTTAACAGCCCAAAGGATCACCAGGGCCTCCTGAGGGACCAATGGGCCTGGGGAAGGGAATGGCCAATTTCTATGGCAACCCAATCCATTGAGGTCATGGTGCCCATCAGCACTCATACAGTCGGTGTCCCGTGGGACCTACTGACCTGATTACCCACATTCCCAGGCTTGATGGAGGCTGAGCCCCAACCACCGTACCTCCAACCCACTTGGTCCCTGGTCCAGCCTTCACAGCACCAACTGTGCAGGAGGCTGTCAGTCACTACAGCAGGGCAAAGAGACGAACTGGCCAGGCCCTGCCTCAGAGACTGCATGCCCTCACAGACCACTTGCTTGTGGCACTTTGAGAGGAAATAGAAATTGTAAAAATATATTTTTTAAAAGTTTCTAAATGAAGAACTTTCTAAGATCCCAAACTTTCTTTACAATGAACCGAATGATGAAAAGTGAGCCTCCTGTCACGGTAGGTAACCAAGAACAGGAGATAGGGTACTTGGCTAATGTGCTGTGGAGTGAGAGGGAAAGCCAGCGCTGGACCTGGGAGGCTCTTCCAGCACCAAGAGGATGTACGTGCCCTCTTGGGAGAGGGCGAAGGAAAAGAGAGCTCCTGGCCCCAAGTCTTACACTAGCCAAGAAGACCACTCCCCAATGGGGCACTCAGAAAAGCATAAGACAGCCTTCAAGAACAGACCACGGTGGCTCAGGGCCTCTGACTGCAGTGTTTGCTGGTTTCTGGGGTTTGGTCTTTTGTGTGTGTGTGTGTGGGGGGGGGGGGGGACCATCATTTGATCAAAGTAGCATAACCTGTGCCTCTGTTTTTGTGACTCACTGATGGTCTGTGGATAACATTACATTTGGTCCTTGTGGTTGGTTCTAATTATACAAGCAAATATATATATTTGTGGACAGGAGGCAGGTCGAGGCTAAGAGCCAGAGTCCTGGATTAGACTACTTGTGTTTGAGTCCAAGCCCTACCACCCTGGCGTGGGACCCTGTGCCTCAGTTTCCTCCTCTGTCAATTGGGTATAACAAAGGTACCACATCATAGGGCTGCTGGGAGAATCAGTGAGGGGAGTGCATGGAGCACACATTCCCTTCTGGCATCATATGACTGTAGGACTGTAAACTGGGATCCTTGTGGTGCCCTGGCCATAGCTCCCTGCAGGCAGGACCAGGGCAGATCCATCGCCACATCCCCGGTGACCAGGAGGCCTGGCTCCTACAAGGTGCTCTGGAAATATCTGCAGAATAGACAGAAGACTAAAGAGCACAGACATAGGGCTTGCCTCCTGCTTTGTTCCTGCGATTTCATGCAGAGACCAAGTATCATTCTGTAAAATTCAAACCCTCCCGGAGCCTGGACCTTGTACTGGGCCCTGAACTAAGCCCCCGGCAAGTACTGATGTATCGAATCCCCGTGATAATCTAGGAGGCAGATGCTGACAGTGTCCCTGTTTTACTGATGAGGAAACTGAGGCACAGAGAGGTGGAGGAACGTGCCTGAGGCCACACAATGAGGGTGAGAATGAAAATGGAAAGAAGTGGGGGTAGGAAAACACAGCAGGCAGGCAGGAATCCGGGGCTGCTCAGGGTGGCGGAGCTCAGGGGACCCACCTCCTGCCCTCGGGACCTCTCTCACCGAACAGCCAGACACCTTGGCAGATGGGGCCAGGAGCGGGTAAGGCAGTCCAGCCCCACTCCCAAGAGAGCTGGAAGTTCCAGGCTTCTTACAAAGCAGAGTGAGCTTGAGGAAGGACAGGCACCTTTAGGGGGTGTCTAGTCCCTGCAGGGCTGCCTCCATGCTTGTGACCTTGGGAGGGACAGCCCTCTTGGCCTCAGTCTCCTTTCTCCAGGCAGGACCCTGTTTCAGAGCCCAAACACCAAGTCACCATGACTTGCCCATTTGAGAATGGCCAACCCCCCACCCGCCCCCTCCCC